TCAGGACTCTATTTTCAAAGTTTCATTTCCTCTTTTAAAGAACAAAGTGGCTACTTTACTCATCCATTGTACTAAGGATGCCACTGCATGTCTATTTTCATGAAGTTAAATAGAATGGAACTCCAGGGGTGGTTCCTTCATATTGTTTTTCCCATTTGGTAGCATTTACTTCAGCTGAAGTTGTTATTGATAGTTCAGAACATTTAGCTTTTATGATCAAGTGGTCAAGAATTTCAAAATCATTTCATCTTACCTGTCTTTACCAGCAAAGTTTAACCCATTTGCCAATTATCAAGCTGCTTTGTTTCACTCTAATCGTCATTAGACTTGAAATTATAGCCTGAATTTAAGCTCTCGTTCCTATTCTGACAAACTCAATAAATATTTATCGACTGTCCATTATGTGTGCAGGTTTGTGTAAAGGTTCCAAAAATAATGGCACATAATCCTGGAGCAGTTACACGTTATTCAACCTCTCTGAATAATAATCTATCTCTGCATCAAGAATAGTGGTAACAGTTTCTTCTCGGTATAGATTCACTCAGACATGTCCTTTATAAGCCATAAAAGTTTTCACAAAGGCTGATTTTTAAAAAGGCACTTTGTTCCTCCTTCATAAATGACAAAGTCTGTACTGCAGTACTTATGTGACCTATGAGGTTCCTAGGACATGCAAAGGGACATATGCTGTTTTCAGAACATCTTATTTCTCCCCTGTCTCCTCATCCTTCTCTGTCACTCACAAGGCCCCCCACTTCCCAGGATAACTCAAGACTATTCTTCAATTACATGTTTCAAATTATGTAAGCTACTATGTAATAAAATTCTGCAAGTAATTTGTTTTTTTCACTTATGATTATCCAGACTGTCTAGATGGACTCTCAATGTTTTAATCCTATAGCTTCATTGTATTAATTTGATAGTTTTTTATATGATCTAACAATTCCTGGTACAACATTTTCATCCAAAGGACTAAAATTTTTACTCAACTATGGTAAGTCACTCCCTCCTCCCAATAGCTTTTGACAGTAAAACACACCAGCCATTCTTTTTTCATTCTTTGACCCTTCACTTCTCTAGCCCTCAATCTGAATAATAGTCCCTTGTGTCTTAACATTCATTTTCCACTTCCTTCTGCTCATCTTTATTTTATACCACTGGATTCCCAAGCCCTGGTCATTTGTGGGGTACTGTGCAGAAAGCAACAGATGTCAGTTTCCTGGCTCCTTGCCTTCCTGGAGAGGGATGTTGGCAGGTTGGACATGTGCATTTAACACAGAGCTGTTCTGAGGGTCTCAGCTAGTTACGCCTCTAGCTCTAACTTCTTTCTTACATCTAGCTTAAATGAAAGTACAAAACATTTACGCAAATGCTAAGCTTAATGACTAAATCCATCTGCTATAAAATAATTTTTCTAAGGATATTTAATAACAAGGACCATTTTAGAAGCCCTCTGATAGGGAAAAAAAAAATAAGTCAGTCTAAGAATAAGTTTTCATATCACAAAAAAAGCTGCATAAAATCCTTTGCTTCAATGTTATATTTCTCTCAATTTTCAAACTTTGCTATTACCTCAAATGTTGACCATAGCAAGCTACTTAACCTTTTTTTAGATCTTGGGATTATCATCTATAAGTGGGGGATTATTTATACAGTTTACTCACAGAGCTTATTTATCAAGTCTCTTCTAGAACTTTTCCCCTCCTTTTGAGGCAATTAATGGGGCTTTCCTGTTTATATACTGGAATACCATACCAGGAAAAAAATAGCAATTATCAAAGTACCAAGTATAATAGGTTCCAGAGTCACAAATATTGGTGATAGATGCATAAAGCAATCTTGACTTAATTACATTGTACCAAGAGAGAATTTAGGATGTCTGGACCAAAACAAATTTTATCTATTAAAAGAATCTGTTAGGCAATGAAGGACAGGACAATTTCAAAGAGCTACCTACTGAAAAACAGATGAGCTTATACATGAGATGAAATTTCACCGGAGGTAGTATAATTTTCTTCTCTAGAACTGATTGATTGTATTGGCTCCGATAACATCAAATCAATATGTCTCCTACTTAGCTGTGCCAATGATTTATTTGAGCTAACTGGCCTGAAAAGTGACCCTCTTGTTTCACCTGCTAAATGATGTATGACCTCCCATGACCTCTGCCTCTGACTGATTTCAGCAGAATGGAGCTCTCATGTGGTACCCTTGATGAACACCCCAATGGTGGCCTACAAGTGGCTCTGGGAAAGCAATTGTATTAATGTATTATAGTAATTTATTGGCAGTTTTGTGTGATAGCATATTTACTGAAATGAGGCCTGCCAAAAAGATCAGGTTATAGCAGGAACACATGATTTCCCAACCAGCCATAAAAAATAAATCAAATGCCTTTTCTGTCCAGTGTCAGCCACCTCCACCCACTCCTTGTCCTCAGTCCTCAGACAAATTGAAGTACATGCCACAATTTGCAGAGGGAAAATCAAACTCAATTTCGCAGTACAATGAAGTGAGTTTTGGTCTTGTCATGTCCACTGACATATTGATCCCTAGAAGATTGAAAAGATCAGAATGCGCTGGGTTTTTGCTTTTATAAATAAAAATGTGTAGAAATGTGGTGTGTAAATGGAGGACAATAGAACACTTTCATAGTTTTACGAAGAGGCAAGAACTCCAGGGGGCTAATGTTGTAAAACAATGGTATGGCATTATAGTCACTATTTAAGATGTCACATTTCTTTTCCCTTTAGAATTACAGACCAGAAGACAAATGGTCTCCTAATCCAGGTTCATTTAAAGTGCAGCTGATCATTTCACAGCTAAAAGGAATTTTCACTAGTGGTGGAAAAAAAAAAAAAGTACCCTATCTTGGCCTTTGGCAGAATTGATGTCAGATCTATAATGCCATAAGCACAACACTCCATCAAACATTTTCTATTTAACCTGAAAGGGGACTAAGCCGAATCACTTACACCTCCACCACTTACACATGATTTGCAAGGTGCAGTGATTGCAGCCTGCCTGAAACGTGTAAAGACCTCATGGTTACTCACGTCTAAGATGAATCATTAAGAAACGGAACCACATTATTAGGAGGTGATGATGAAATTGCAGGAAATATGATAAAATACCCTAGAACCCAGTAAGCTAAATTTCCAGCACAGCAGGTGGAGGGAAAGGAATGAAGAAATGTTTTCAGGTGGCAGCATTTCAACTGTTATGACAACAGGATGACTTTCTAATTATGACTTATTATCGAAATACTGTGAAATTCTCCACAACTCTGGAGATTGTTACTGCATAATGTGTGTTGCCCTGTGCCACATGTAAAACTACTGCAAACCTGCCTCTTCATGCTTTACTGGAAGCAAACTGAGGCACAGATCAACATCCCTGCCCAACCACACACAGGAATTCAAAAGAGAGAGCTTCCTCATTGATCCTAAAGTCAAAGGATTTGAGGCAGAAGGAGCTTTTTGTTTGGCATGATCTTTTAAAAATTATAGCAATGCCTTGCATTACCATATTCTAAAGTAATTACTTGCAGTAAGTAAAGATAAATTCATTAATAATTACACAGTCTTATTGTGAATCCCAGAGTAAAATTATTTGAGGTATTTTTTTTTTTTTAGCCGACAAGAGAATGACTTACTTCATCAATCAGGTTGACTGAAGTAATGATTTTCTTAGAATTAAAATTTGTTGAAAGCTCTAAGTATTTCATCTTTTAGGCTAAGAAGCATGTAGTTAATGTCACAGCTAATACATTTGTCAGTCTGCTAATTTTCTTTTTCTATTAGAATAAGTAAACATCAGCCCTTTCTTAAAAGCATACTATTTACCATGTGTCAAGAGAAATGCAGGAAGAACTTATTTGAAAATCATGAGGTAAGACGTTATGAAATGAACAGGAATCACAGGGAGACAATGAAGAAGTAACATGAAAAGGAAAAGCAATTATTAATTCCAAATTGATGACCCGTTTGTCTCAAGGTGAGTGGGGTGGGGGGATGGAATGGCATTTAAAGGGGAACTATAATAAAAATAAAATCAACCCCCAAACTCAAGCCAGACATATTGGAATATATGAAAGAAGAGATGGTTTGTAAGAAGTGGTTCAGATAAAAACAAGAGCAGGAGTAAAACAAAAGAAGGCTTATAAATATACAATGGAATAAAAGAAAAAGATCTTGCCCATGTGATATTAGATGAGAGAATGATTCTTCAGATATGCTTATTATTTGAGAAAACAGTTATAGAGATTAGAAGAATTATTTCCTATCTTTTAAGGACATAATACACTTATTTAGCCATATTGTATACTGATGTTGTTAGTGCTACTTGGTTCATTATGGATCTACTTATCTAACAATTAGGCCTTCATCCTAGCTAGCTGTTCCTCCTCTTCCTTCTCTCTTTCTATTCCTACCTCTCCTCCCCCTTAGACTCTAACAGAAACAGAAAGGACTTCTGGTTCTCATCTCCACCTCTGAATTTTCTTAGAAGGGGGTCATAGAGATGTTACTTCCTTTCTAACTTTTAGCATCTTCATTTCTAAAAGTTGGAAGTAGCACTCTACACAGATTCTGATGCTCCTTTCTGGCCCTGAATCTCAAAGATAAGAACCCTGGAAAGTGACTATTGAAAGGCACAAAGTAAAGCTATGGGATTAAATGTATTTCTATAAAAAGTGGTTTTGCAGGTGTTTGTACTTTTAACTAGAGTCTTGGAGTCTAGCTTTAAATCATAGTACCCATGTGTTCAATTGAAGAACCAAGACATTTTCCAATATTCTCTAGTGGGCGCACCTAGACCACATATTAAAAGTATAGAATTGGTATTCAGGATAAATGAGCAAACTTCCAAAGGAATGAAAGCACCTGTAACCATTCCACTGCTTGCAAGGCAGGTACTAAGAGCTGCATTAAAATATCAGTAACAGGAAAGTAGAGATATCAGTTACAATGATTTTAAATGTGAATGAAAGGGCTCCTTACCTGGCTGAGACAGAAGTGGTGTGTAAGGGACTTTCGGTTCTATTGCACTCATTGGTGGAGGTAGCAAAGGGTTGGCAAAGCTGCGGAGTGGATGAGTTGGTCGAACACAGGCCGTGGGGATGGTTCTGCTTGGTGCCTCCTCGCTGCTGGGATGTTCAGACTGGGTTGGGGGCATTATGGATGGCTGTTGTGTGGTTGGTCCTTCGCTCACCGCTACAATGGAGACAAGAAAAACCATTCATTACTCCAGGGCCAAGCTTGTTTTCCCAAAGTCATTTGAAGGACCCCTGGGGTCAATTCACACAAATAAACCAGGGTCTGACCAATCTCTTCTTCAAGTTACGAACATCTCTGTTCCTCCTCCCTCATATAGCGATGGGATTATTACAGCACTGCCTTTTTAAAATAGCAGAACCAGATCCAACAGGATAGAGATCTATCTTTCAGGAGGGGAAGTTAAAATATATACAGCACTGGCCATATTGCCTGAACTGTCTGGGCCCTGTAATCAGAAGTGATGAAGCGAGAAAAAAAGAGTTATTTCTCCTTTCATAAGTAGCAATGTCAGTGAAATTCAATGTACCAAACCCAGCTACAGTTGCATTATTATCTACCAGCCAATATGCCAATTTTTCTGTGCTTTAAAAATGCTATGTCAACTGTCAAACAAATCAGAGTTCCTGCGCTCAAGGCATTGCTAATAAAACGATAGAAATAATAACCACTATCATTGTCCATAACGAAATAGGAGTAAAGTTACTAAAAAGTTATGAGAGATGACTCTGCTGTAACAAGTTGCCTGAATGCAGAATTGTAATTTTTCCTCTTTGGTAGCAAGTCTTACAATTTTCGATCAGATTACTGTAGTTGAGGAAGTTTCACATAATCATTTCTGACAGCATTTGGGTATTTGGACAGATTTATGTATGGAAACACACCTTTACTGCAGAGAACATGGCTGAGTCAGACTCAAGTATTTGCCAGCAGTATGGACACTGTAACTGATTCTTCATATTCACAGCCAATAAATATAGTTTAAATTGTGAATGAAAAGAGCTGCTTGGTAGCTATGTGTTGATGTAACTATTTCAGAATATTTCTTGAGAAAGTTCTACTGGGGCCTCCCTGGTGGCACAAGGGGTTAACACGCAACCTATGAGGTTGTCCGCAGCCACTGCAACGTGAGTTTGATCCCGGCCGGCCAGGGAGCAACTTACATGGCGCAGCAGACCTCTCCCGATTAGCCTGCTGCTCCCCTCAGCAGTGTTTTTCAGTCAGTCTGCCTGTTCTGTTCCCCACTCTGTTTTCTGGTGAATCCTCTCAACCCCCTATACCTCTAGTCTGTACCCCAGCTCTTGTATGCATAAATAAATAAATCTTTAAAAAAAAAAGTTCTATTGGATAAGTTGAAAAAAAAAGAAGCAGTGATAGAATATCTCACTTTTGAAAGAGAATTTTTAATCAGGAAAAATCTCAAGATAATTAGGTTGAGGGATAAACTCTCTGGGAGGCTCTAGGAGGCCAACAAAGGGCAGAATGAAATAGAAGGAAAATCTGATAATGCTGAAGGGAAAAGAGATTAAAGATACAAAAGATCAAGATATAATATTAAAGATATGCAAAAGTGAAATGTCCTTGGAGTTATAACCCTGAGAGTATTTGATATTAAAACTTGTTTTTCTATATTCACAAAGGGCTAGAGGTCCCAGAGCAGCCCCAGGCTTACCCCATTCAAAAATGGAGGTTGAGAAGGTAGAGGGTTGGCTGAGGACAAGCATATAGCCACAGAGCAGCCAGAGCCAAAAAACAGGCAAAGACTTAATAAAAGATACACTTAAAGGAAGATGTAATCAAGGCAGCAACCTGGACAGAACTGACAGCATGTGGAGTTTGAATAGTCCCTTATCTCTAGTCTGGAAAGTCCATCCAGAGGTGGTAAGGAGGGTACATGCCTGCAGAGTCTCAAGGTTAAAGGGGGTGGCTGCAAGGAAAACTTTAAGGCAAATCCTTGGTGATACCAGTTCTCAACTAAAGACAAACTATATAGTTTTAGAAAAAAAAATAATGTGAGTTTTACTATATTTAGTTTAAAGAACAACCAACCAATGGTTAGTTGTCCAGGTGAAAACATCTCTCACAGCTCTAAATCAGATCAAGGCAGCTAGAGGAACCTGGATCTTGGTGCCTCTTTATTGCCAATGGTTTGGTTTTTATTTTTATTTTTTTAAAGATTTTATTTATTTATACAAGAGCTGAGATACAGGCCAGAGGCATGGTAGGGTGAGAGGATTCACCAGAGACAGCAGGGAGCAGAACAGGCAGACTGAATGAAAGCACTGCTGAGGGGAGCAGCGGGCAAGGCAGGAGAGGTCTGCCGTGCCATGTGGGAATCTCCCTGGCCGGCAGGGACTTAAACTCACGCTTCAGAGGCTAGGGACAGCTTCACAGCACTATGCTCAACCCGCTGTGCCACCAGGGACGCCCTGGCTTGGTTTTTATTAAAGGATCTATGTCATCACTGAAAATAACCCTCTAGGGAAAGAAATTTAATAATTTTCCTCATAAATTTAACTTAAGTCTGTCTATTGAAAATGGATTGCAATTAACACACATCATATTTTAAAACTGCTTTAGTCATAAAGAAATCATGTTCTGTGCTGTTTTTCTTTTTTTATTTCTTCTTTCTTTTTAATTCCCTCCTTATTTCCTTTTTTATTTCTGAAGTGAAATCTTTGAAACTAAATAGATCTAGAGTAAAATATTGTGACCATAACCATAATAAAATTTATACAAATTTTTTTAGTTTCTGAAATTTAGTTTCTTCTTCTGAAAAAAAAAATGCTTTTTGAATTTTGATGATGCCACTGAACTTTTTTTTTAAAGATTTATTTTATTTATACAATAGCTGGGTACAGGCTGGAGGCGTGGGAGGGTGAGAGGATTCACCACAGACAGAGTGGGGAACAGAACAGGCAGACGGACATAAAGCACTACTGAGGGGAGCAGCGGGCGAGACAGGAGATGTATGCCGTGCCATGTGGGTTTCTCCCTGCGCAGCCGGGAATCGAACTGGTGCTGCAGAGGCTGTAAACAGCCTTACAGTGTTGCACTCAACCTGCTGCACCACCCGGGAGGCCAGTCACTGAACTTTTTAGGTCCCACCCCTTCCTAGGTTTTTTAATGGTACTTATCAGCATCGCTATAACCAAAAATTCTCAATACGCCCAGTACTACATTCTCAGCCTTCAGCTGGCATCATCATTCCCATGAGCAACATCATGATAAGATTCTTAAGGTTGAGGAAATAATAAACCTGCTCTTTAGTAAAATTGAGTCTTAGTACTGTAGTAGGATAATCCCTAGGAAAGGGGAGGTTTCACGTTCCTTATGTTGAAGGGTGCAGCTGGGTAGGGAGGTGAAGCTAGAAAAGAATGGGAGAAGGACTGACAAGGAGGAAGAAGCAGGAGGAGGAGAAGAGGAGGAAAAGCAAGGCTGGAGAAGAGGACTTGGAGGAGGCACACAGGCACAGAGACACATGAAGACGCTGCTCTTGCTTCTTGGCCTTGGACTTGTACTAGGATCTTGGGGGACATGGAAGGAGACACTAGAAAGGGACAGAGATGTCATTGAGAGACCTATGGGGAAGCTGACAATAGCAGCCTTTTCTTTGGCTTGGATTTTGATTTTGTTCTTTTCCTTCCAAACTTGTCTGGCTCCTTCTGCCCTTTTCCTATGGTTCTGCACATGAACGTGCCCTAGACTTGTGGCAAGCTTTTGGGCCTCAGTGGTCCCACTTTGGGCCAACTCTGTTTGTCTTGACATTTGCTCATGAGAACATGGGTAATGTTGGGTGTCTAATTGGAAATTATTTTAAGCTCTATTCTTTTTCTTCTCTCTGTTGCATACTAATTGAAGTTCCTTTCTGTTGGAAGTCTTATGCACAAGAGTATGTTTTGTCTTGATGTGGTGGATGGTAGAACCCATTTAGAGCAGGCAGGTATAGGGCCTCTGGGATATTCCTCAATTCTGCCCTGTGGCAGTACTACACACTACACAGTAAAAAAAGAAAGTGCCTAATCTTGAGCCTCCCTGGTGGTGCGAGGGGTAAGCACCGCACTATGAAGCAATCCACAGCCTCTGCAGCATGAGTTCGATCCCCCAGCTGGCCAGGGAGCAACCCACATGGCGCAGCAGACCTCTCCTATCTCTCCCGCTGCTCCCCTCAGCAATGTATTTCAGTCAGTCTGCCTGTTCTGCTCCCCACTCAGTCTCTGGTGAATCTTCTCACCTCCTGCATCTCTGGCCTGTACCCCAGCTCTTGTGTGCATAAATAAATAAATCTTAAAAAAAAATTGCCTAATCTAATCCATTAAGTGACAAAGGGATACTCGTCCTATAGATGAGATACATCTATTCCTGCTCCTTAGGGGACTGCTTTGGTTTTGTTTAAAATGATAGATTTTCGGGCCTCCCCGGTGGCGCAGCGGTTGAGAGCTGGGTTGCGAAGCTGCCCGCAGCCTCTGCAGCGCCGGTTCGATCCCCGGCTGCTCCCGGCCACTGGAGGAGGGTCCCACATGGCGCGCAGACCTCTCCTGCCGCCCGCTGCTCCCCTCAGCAGTGTACTTCGGTCCTTCTGCCTGCTCTGCTCCCCACTCTGGCTCTGGTGAATTCTCTCGCCCTCCCGCGTTTCTGACTGTACCCAGTGCATGTATAAACAAAACGAACAAACAAATAAATAAATAAATAAATAAATAAAACATGCCTCTTTAAAAAAAAAAAAAAAAATTAAAAAAAAAAAAAAAAAATGATAGATTTTCTGAATACTTAGCACAATGGACAGACATAGGTTTTCCACAGACAATTCATAATTCTTATGCTTTAAGTGTGAACAAAATAAATGCTTTTCAGAAATGGCTGACATTTAAAGCAGTACTCTTAAACAAACACAACAGCAACTGCCCCATTGGAGAAGGTTTCTCCTTTCACAGGCACAAGCTTCAAGACACCTATGTGAACAGACTGGCTGGGTAACATGCCATTTAGCAATGCTAAGAGCTCTAAAAGCAAAGAAAACCTCCTTTCGTCCACTAAGTGCAGCCTCCGTGCACTTCAGAGAGTAAAGTGAGAATCAAGTATGTGCTGGCAAGGGATGCATTTTCAAATGAAATAGTAGGAATTCATTGTCAAATAGCTTACAATTACACAGCAGCGTCAAATCTCAAGGCACTTTATAATAATTAACGTCAACATATAAATAATTGCTATGGAAAAATTGGCAGAAATATTATAAAAACAGAAATGGAGATTTTTCTTCTTTCTAAAATTCCAACATTTAAAAGAAAAATAGCATGACAATACCTCTGAGCAAAGACTTGAAGACCTGAAGACTTCCAGGAACTCAACTCACTCATTAATCTCAGAAGATCAGCATCACCAGTGTACTTCATTAACCCTAGTTCCTCACAACCTAGATTTTTGAAAAGATTCTAGAGAAAGCTCCCTGACCTCCAGTGTGCATCTGATTTTTATGCATGTCAAGTCCCATTTGTTAGTTGAACTCCAATTGGGGGAAGAATTGGGGCAGGAAAATAACATGGGCAATACTGACCAACCACCCTCCTAACTAAGACAATGTTAGAACTGAAAGGAATAGTGGGAATTATCTACCCTTCTCTAATGCCCACCTGTGTCAAAGGTGAGGAAAGGAGGCACTGATTTTATAACGACTGGTATAAATGAGGCCTCAAGACCATCTGATCATTGAAGTTTTCAAAATATAACACTACTTTTTGCATCCCAAGGATGGTATGTTTGCCTACTGAGGCTAAAAGTGAAATTTTAGTAGGAAGAGGGAACATTTGTCATCTTAGTCACCTAAATCTTTATTGACGGATCATTGGAGATGCATAATGCAAACATATTATGTCCTATATCTTTCCTTTCTTTTGATAGGAAAAGAAATTCAATTTTATATAACTCAGAAAGTAGATCTTTGGGGGCAGAGTATTAGAGATTTATCTTATAAACTCAAAGTTCTTTCAGATAACTTTGGAGGAAGGAGAGTCACTGCACTTGACACAAATTTTTCCTTCTCTCGGTGTGCCTTTCACTGTTTTTCAAGGGGACTAATAAGACATCTTGAGCCAGAGTCATGAAATGTTTTCTGCTTGAGAGAGAGCAGGGATGTTTAGTGTTCTCCATGGCATTTAGAAGCCGATCCTGATGGCTAGAAGTTAAATGTTTCTGACAGTGATTTAGAGAATATTTAGTTTCTTTGAAAAGAGAACACTTACTTTTTTCTTTTCCAAGCAATCACTTGGAAACACATTAGTTCCTATTCCTTTTGCATTGCACACAGCTTTGTCAAAAAACAAAAAAAAACAACAAAAAAAAAACCTTGAAGAATGACTGAATATATATTTTGAAAATCTATGAAATCTTGACCAGGAATAGAATGTGCTTTGCCTTTGATTTTAGATGAGATTCAAAAAGTTACTAAGCTAAATGCTCTCTAACAAATCCTTTATTGGTATCATGTTATATAATAGTTACATTTTACATTTAACAGTCCCATTTAACTATATTTAATAAGTCCTTTTAAAAGATTGAGAAATATAAAAATCTAAGGAATTTTACTCTGAAAACAATCTAAGAAGACTAAATTTTCCATGTATTTATATCTAATAGGCCATATTTTCTTTGAGAGCAGCTTTAGGTTCTTAATAAAACTGATTGGAAGGAACAGAGGTTTCCCAAATACCCTCAGCTGCAAATATACACGGCTTTCTTCACTATCAGAACCCTGCATCAGAGAAGTCCTTTATACTCTAACCACAGCTATATACAATTCTGTGGTCATAACCACAGAGTAAAGAAATCTGTATACTAATTTATTGTTTTCTTTACCATTGAACTGTAAAGTATGAAATCATTTTCTCCACATCCAAAGAAAAAGAACGTGTAAATGGGATATTGAATTTTCAGAGGGAGACTATGCCTTTAAAAAAGGAAAAGAAATGTTAGGAACATATCACGAACAAACGTAACTAGTTAGAACATAGATGAAATCAAAAGAAAGTAGTAGATAGCTATCAAATAGGGAGAAAACTAAAGTAAAACTTTAACCTCTACTTTTTGCTGGGAGAGTTCATTTCAGCTGCTGAAGAAGGCACTTGTGGATTCTGAATTGTTTAACTCAAATGACCTTCCTAGTTGTTCTAGATTTGGAAATTTTGGGTTGTTGAGCCTCCCATATTTTCCTCATTTAATTTCCGTCATTATGGTTGGAAGGAATATTGTTCCTTGAGTTTGTGCACACAACTCTGTTCCATAGATCTGATGTGCAGTGAGAAAAAGAAAAATAAATCTAATTCTCTCTTGGCAGATTTTTGATGCCTTTTAATTCTAACCTTGCTACATCTAAGAAATTTATGATTTCTTAGAGCTGTTCCTGTAGGGCTAGAAAAAATATAGCTTACCTTACAAATATACTTTATTGCTGTTACCATCTTATCTATTACAAAACATCCAATCTCACATCAGCTGCTGAGTCACCTGTTCTTAACTAAGAGAAGAAAGCCATAAAATCAATTTTAAAATGCTGTGCTTGAAGAAAAAAAAGTCAAATGGCATCGGAAAAATCACCAGGGTGTATATAATAGCTTGAGAATTTCTCTTCATTCCTACTTTGTTTAAACCAAATACAATACTATTCTAAGGATACAAAACCAATATACAAAAGGCTGCTGTGTTTCTATACTCACAAATCACCAGAGAAATTAAGAAAACAGTCTCATTTGTAGTAGCTTCAAAAAGAATAAAATATTTAGTAATAAAATTAAGCAAGTAAGTAAAAGATATGTATACTAAAAAATTATAAGATACTGATAAAATAAGTTGAAGAAGGCATAAATAAATGGAATCCAATCTAATGGTTTGGAAGAAATGATATTGCTAAATGTCCACACTACCTAAGCTAATGTACAAACTCAATGTAATCCCTATTAAAGTTCCAATGACACATTTTCACAAAACAGAAGACAAAAAAGCACACAATTTCTATGAAAAGAAAGGATCCTGAATAGTCACAGCAATTTTGAGAACACCACCAACAAAAAAAAAAGTTGAAGGCATCATAATTCCTGGCTTCAAGCTATATTACAAAGTCACAGTAATCAAAACAGTATGGCAGTTACATAAAAAACATAATCCATCAAACAAGAGAACCCAGAAATAAATCTATTTATTTATGGCCAATTAATTTATGGCAAAGGAGCCAAGAATATACAATGAGGGAAAAAACAGTCTCTCAATAAATTGTTAGAAAATTATCACATGCAAAAGCATGAAACTGGACTTTAATTTTACACCACAAACAACAATAACTTCAAAATGGATTAAAGACTTGAATATAAAACTAAAATCATAAAACTCCTAGAAGAAAATATAGGGGGTTAAACTACTTGATATAGGTCTTGGAAATAATTTCTTGGATTTATCAGTAAAACCTCAAATAATCTAACTCGTTAACTACGTCAGGTTAAAAAACTCTACACAACTAGGGAAACCATCAATAAAAAGAAAAGGTGGCCTATGGAATGGGAGCAAATATATGCAAACCACAGATTGGATAAGGGATTGATATCTAAAATATATAACACCACTCAAGAGTGACCAAACAGTATGATTTTTAAAATGAACAAAAAGTTGAACAGACATTTTTACCACATATATGTAGAAAGGTAGTGGAACCTCACTAACCATCAGAGAATGACAAATCCAAGCCACAGCAAGATATGACTTGCCAGGGAGGCTATTAACAGAAAGACAAGATAACAAGTATTGACAAGGATGCAAAGAAAAGGTAACTCTTTTGCATTTTCAGTAAGAATATTATCTGATACAGTCACTAGGGAAAACAGTATGGAGGTGCCTCAAAAAATTAAAAAATAGAACTACTATATGATCCAACAATCCCACTCTTTTGGCTATAGATATCCAAAGGAAGTGAAAATGGCATCTGAAAGAGATATCTGGATTTCCACGTTCATGACAACATTTTCACAAGTGTCAAGATATGGAAGAAACCTAAGTGTCTGTGAAGAGATAAATGGATAAGAAAGATGTTGTATAGTATACACACAATGGAATGTTATTCAACTATGAGAAAGGAGAACCTGTCATTTCAACAACATGGATCAACTTTTAGGGCATTATGCTCAGTGAAATTAGTCAGGCATTGTAAGACAAATATTGTATGATTATAACTTGTATGTGGAATCTAAAAAGATAAACCCATGAAAATGATACTAGAATGGTAGTTACCAGGGATTGGGAGCTAGGGAAAAATAAAGAGATGTTGGTTGATGAATACAAAATTCCAGTTACAAGATGAAGAAGTTCTGGTATCTAATTATAGCATAGTGATTATAGTTAATAACACTGTACTATATACTAGAAAATTGCTAACATATTAAATGTTCTCACCTCAAAAAAATTAAATGGTAATTGTGTGACTTGATGGTGGTATCAGCTAACTCTATGGTGATCATCATTTTGCAATATATAAACACATCAACACATTGTGCACCTTAGACTTACATAATGTTGATTATATCCCATTAAATTTTAAAAAAAATAATAAAAGCAAAAGATAACACCACTTTGGAAATATTTTTTCCAACAATTATTTCTTCAGGTTAAAGGTATTACCTGATTTAACAAAAGAAAACTAAAGCATTCTACAGTATTGTGAATACTGTACCCAAGATTCAGCCACAGGATCAATGAGACATCTTTAACTATAACCAACAGACACTTAAATAAGAATATGTTGCAGGATAGTCTTGATTATTAACCTCCTAATTAGAAAATCTATTAATTTCAAGCACCCATCACATCATTGTTTTACTGAACTACTTAAACTTTGTTTCCCTATAATTTCAATGAAATATACTGTGAATAGATTCCTAAAGAATCCATCTAGAAATATGAGAGTGGGATCCAAAAGGACTGAGTATCCTAGCAAGAAAATTCTAGTAGCCAGGTCATAGGCAAATCAATACTTTCTTAGGATAGAATTCAAAATGTAACACATTTGGTAAGATTTTCTTAGTATCATTCATTTCTACTTAAGGAAAAAGAAAGGAAAATGCATTACACTTACATTTTCCTGCTCCGAAGCCTCGATCCACTGACAAAGTTGGGAATGGCACAGGCCGGAGGGTAAACTGTGGGTGGGGGTAGCCACATGTGGGAGATGGAAGGATTCCTGGGTACTGGGCACTTTCCAGGGTTGGCACTGGGATGGCACTCACCACAGCTGCAAAACAAAGATGCTACTGATGTTATTTTTATCTTATGTATCCACCTCACAGGCAAAAAAGGAAATGTTACATTTTCACATTTTCAAATTCATGTGCAATTTTCATATAGTACCATGTAGGTTTCTCTACTTCCTTCTTACCACAAAATCCTATTCTTACTTTAGAAAAGTCAGCTCACTGCTCCAGCATCTTACTATGGTTTGTCACCTGAGCCCTAAAACTTCGTGGTTTCAAAGAAATGACTAACCAAATCATAATCAAGTCACCTTAAAACTTTCTGATTTTTGCTTTTTTGTTTGATTTTTGTCTCAACTCTTGCATTAGAATGTTGGGTTATTTAGGAATCAAATATATTTGGTAGAGTAGGCAGAGGAAATGGGAATTTTCTGTAGTTCTGTGAAAGAAGGTAATTCCTTCTTGAAACATGGTTCAGAGAGAGAAAAGCAAAGTATATTTTCAGTAATCAAACTTAGAATTTATATATAAGTAGAGAAAAATGCCTTCAAACAGTCAAAACTATGCAGCATAGTGATATATCAGTTTATCTAACAATGTTTTCTGGGAATACTGAACATCATTTAGTTATACTGACTTAAACCCACAGATAAATATCTTACACAGTATTTTCTATGTTGACTGAGCATTGTTCAATTCCATTATTCAATACCTATTTTAATGGTATCACATGAAATGTGTATTTACTGTCATTGTAGTAAGTTTTCATCTTACGGCCTCTTATAAAATGTTTAGTTATTCCCTACCTCTCCTTAACAACAACAACAAAAAAGAAGTTTAACTTCAGAATGATCAATTTTAGCAGTATAATTCTGTCCATGAAATTAATGAAGTTGTTTCTATTATATACATGACTTTAATTATAACCTAATGCAATTTCTGAAGTTCAACAAGCACTGGCACACATATTTACACAAAGAAAATCTTGGTATCTTATGTAAGTAACTTCCTAACAATAGATACAGATTATATTGCATTTATTATAAATTAGAAATAACACATAGATTTAAAATATATTTTCTAACTTAAAATCTAAATTCTTTATCTTAAGCATATGACAGTTAAAATTTAAAGGGCTGCTTCTAGTAAACTAGTTTTTACAATTGCATTACAGATTTTTTTTTTCAGTGTACTTATACTACTCCTTGAACTACATATTAACATGTTTATTTGAACTGAAAAATAAAGTCAGTCCTTTTCAGAAAAAAAATATTTGATTGATTGGTTTGACTATGGGGACTATCTTAAGTAAGTTAGGTGATGGGTGCTGTCCATGAATTGAAAGGAACATAACTCAATAGGATAAAGACATTTTTCTGAATATTGTATTAATAAAGGTGTATTATAAGTGATACTTCAGTGTTTCCAACCCTGTCTTACTTGTACCTTTAAGTAAAAAATAAATTAAGTTGTATAATTTCTTTATAAGTATTGGTGTACCTATTAAAAACCAAGACATGAGATAACATGAATATCAAATACTTTTGAAATTCAGGTGTTTACTAAAATTTTGAATATACTTGAAGGGGAACTATCTAGCTGTTATTGAAATATTATTAAAAAAAGTTTGAAAGTGAGTTTCTAGTGTGATGCTAGCATATAATGGGAAGAATTTCAATCACTGAGGGATTTCTATAAAAATCTCATAGTTGCAACACCAACCCACACATTATACAAATAAGGTTTCTCAGTGTTTAGATCAATAAAACATTGAAATAGAATTTATGTCATAGGTAACATTCATCCATGGATATACAGAATGATTGTTCAAAATAAGCCTCACTCATTCTATTAAGTGGTAGAGGACTTGAATAACAATCTACCTATACGCTATTGTGCAGAAATAGTAATTGTACCATTAGCTTAATTCAGATAATATCAGCAGTTCATACTTATGGTTACATAAATTAATAATATAAACATAAAATTTCAGTTTATAAAAATGTTATTTTTTAAAAATAAGACAAATGATCAATAAAAGGCAATCATAAAAAAATGACATTTGTATGTTATTCTGTGGGGAAAGTGAATTGTAGGTACAAGTTCAAGGAGAGGAACTTCATGTATTTTGCAAATGGCTGAAGGTGGATATTAAATCAATATGGTACTTTTATGATTTTGAATCTATTCAAAACAGTGGTATATCAGAAAAATGACATCTTTCATAGACATTTATCTTAGAATGTTTTAAATTTTAAATTATAAATGTGTGTGGCAATGCAAAATTTCCTGAAATTATTTTTGGGAAGACCTCAATGAAAATTTAACAATAAATGGAATACAGTATCAAAAATGAAGATATTTTATAATCAGTAAGCTATTTTATAAAGAGTAAATTGTGGATACACAAACACAAGAACAGACTTCAGGGAAAGGAAAGGAAAAAAAAAATAAGCTGACAAGGAAACTTTTAAAAAGAATCAGAGATTGAAGCCAGATACCAGTAAAAACGTCTCCATAGTCCTCAAAGAATAGGCCTTAATTTTTTCCCAGTATAATGCTAGATACGTCATATCATTAAAGTGAGTTAATAAGGATTTTTTAGAAGTGATATTTAGAAACTCACTGAAGACTTTTAAAGTGTTTTGATGCATTATTTAGTTTCCTGGGGTATAGAGTTGTAATAATAATAATAATAATGAATAATAACAATAATATACTTGAAATATTTGTAAATAAGAGCCTCATAATACCACAAAGTTTATATATATATATAAAAATACCACTAAGTTTATATATATATATATATATATATATATATATATATATTTATATGCAATCTAATATCCCAGTCTCTCCATGCAATCAAATTAATGACTTCACCTAAATGGAATCACAGCATAGTTATTCAGGTTGATTGCTGGATAGCAAAGGCTTTCTGTGTTGACAATTTTACTTATAAACGAATGTGACAGGAGAGTCTCCTTTAGCTATGGAAGGCACCCACTCCACAAATTGTGCGCATTTCCTTATTATTACCTGAACTTAACCAATATCTTATAATACATTTAGAAAAAATAATTTCATAAACATTTCCTGGACAGAGTTGATTAAATTGGAATCAAGGAACAAACTAATTTGGCAAGGCACAGAATCTCTAAGTTAGAGAGTTGAGAGAACCCAAGAGACAAAATTTACATTCTAGTTCCAAGGCCATTGTCGAAGAGACATGCTACTTTCTAAGAGTTTTGCATTTTGACTATTAACCTTAGTACAAATGGTTTGCATAAAAGAAAATTTCTTTAAAATAACAGATCTGTTATCTACTTCTGCATGTCAAAATTCTTGTTTTATTTCCTGACATGAAATAGAATACTCAGTAGTCCAAAGCTTTGGTTTTGAAGTATTTTGATCCATGATTTATTTCCAAAAAGGCACAGAAATCTATACCAATGTATAAGAAAGTTCTGGAAAAAAAAAAAAAAAAAAAAACATTGCAAAGTAAGTTGGATACAACATTTTGTATTGTATTCCCCCATAGATGTCACTTTTGAGAGCAGAAACATACTCATACTACAATTCAAAGCATTCACTGCACTGCTTTGTTTATGTAAAACAATTCAGAGTGATATCATCAAGGATTTTCAATAAATCTCTGTTCTGTGGCCAAATATGACAAGAAATCTCTTCTGACACTGCTTGCTGACAATAGAATTTATACCTCACACTGATACACAAAGATTTTTTTATGTAGAAATTCTCTCAACAAATGAACAGGCATGCAGATATTTGAAAAGTTTACACCATTCTTTAAAATGTTAGCATTAAGCAGGACCTATAAGAAATCTAAACTGGAGATTTTTTCGATGCTACAATTTTAAGAAATAAAACCCTTTAGATCTTTCCAAACATGATAACTAACAGAATTGAGAGATCTGTTGAGGAGGAGAGGTGGACAAATAGAATAGTAAAAATAATAATATTTTGAAGTGAAAAGTAAAATAAGATGATTTTTCATTCTGCCATTTCTTTTTTTTATTTTAATTTTTTAAATTTATTTTTGCGAAAAAGAACTGGGGTGTAGGCCAAAGGTGCGGCGGAGGGGGTGACAGAATTCTACCGAAATAAACTGCTGAGGGGAGAAGCAGGCGAGACAGGAGAGGCCTGCTGTGCCATTTGGGTCAGCTCCTGACTGGGGATCAAACTCAAGCTCTAGCAGTGAGAATACTGAGACTTAACCCCTAGGCCACCAGGAAGCCCTCTGCCTCTTCTTTACCATCTCTTTCTTGCAATGTAATCTGGATTATTTGAAAATTTAGTATCTATTGCTCTTGATAAATATTCTCATATCCTTTACATTTTCAGATGTTCTCTGATGAATGAGTGGCATACACCTGCATGCACAAATCCCACCAAAGACCTTTTAAGGAAAAGCATGAAAATTCACAAATATGTGTTCTCTAGTTATTCTTAACATAATGGTAGAGTGCCCAAGAACTGAGTTCAGAGAGCATAGGCCTAGTACCTACTTCTGCCACTTGGTAGCAAGTGAGTCAAAGTGCCTAAGGCACCGCCCACTGACCCCCACTGCATGATACTCACACCCTGTGGAATTCCCCGCTGCATCTTACCAGGGTTGGTCTGGTACCCAAAGAAATGCAGCAGAAGTGATGGCATGCCACTTCCAAAATCAGGATTAAAAATACTGAGCGCTGTCTCAGAATGCTCACTCTGTGTGGAGCCAGGAGTCACATCTTCTGGCTGTGCGGGCAGATCTGAGAGAGGCACAAGTGGTCGGAAACTAAAGCTCTCAGTCCAGGAGAATATGAAAATCCTCAGGGACAGATTCAGATCCTGAGCTCGAGCTATCTGGCTAAACGGTTCCTGTTTTTATTGCTATTTTGGTGGGGGTGGGGGTGGGGGGGGGGTGGGGGTGATTTGTTACACAGGAATAATAACTATAGATTGATTTGAGCAAGCCACTGAGGCTCTCTATTACTTACTTTTCTCATCTGTAAAGCAGAGATGGTAGTAGTCCCAC